TTATGAGTGTGTTTGTGTGTGTATGTGGATTTGTGTGTGTATGTATTTGAGTGTGTGTGGATGTTGGTATTTATGAGTGTGTTTGTGTGTGTATGTGCATTTGTGTGTATATGTATTTGAGTGTGTGTGTATGTTGGTATTTATGAGTGTGTTTGTGTGTGTATGTGCATTTGTGTGTGTATGTATTTGAGTGTGTGTGTATGTTGGTATTTATGTGTGTGTTCGTGTGTGTAAGAGTGTGTATGTGCATAAGCGTGTGTGTATGTGAGTTTATGTGTGTGGGAGTATATATGTCTGTGTGCTTGTTTGGAAATGGTTTTGTTATTGCATGCGTGTGTGTGTTATTAGTATATAATGATATGTGTTTCTGTGAGGGTTAGTTTAAGAGTCATGTAAAGTCCTCACTGGGATATGAGCTGCTGCTGTTGTTCTTGTTTAAAGCATCAGGTCTCCGCATGTTGATGTGTTTCTCAGTGTAGTTTAGTGGATGTATCTGGACCCTTCAGTGTTTCTTCACCTGATAAGGAATGGACCGAGATGAAGGGTCTGTTTTAGCTCTTCATTAAAATAATCCTCCATGTTAAAGTGAATCGTGTCCACATTCTCCATCCTCACATCGTCTAAAGAGGTTTTTCTGTTCTCTGCTGAACGTTAAAGCAGATTTTCTGCAGAATGAGTTAAACTAGTCGTCATGAAATGAAAGAAGACAGTGACCAGAGGCCCCAAAACTCCTAAATATAGTCTCCCTCTCTGTGCTCCGCTGTGTTTCAAGGGGCTTTTTGTCCTGTTGTTCAATACTAATGCATTTTATTAAATTCAAGATGTATTTTTTAGTTAGTCTGCTTTAAACATGAGCAAATATCTATCAACCGAGTCAAATAAAACAGTATAATAATCTTTAAAGATTGTTTTTCTGGCTACACAGATTATTATTATTATTTTTCCCCTTTTCCATCCTCTTGTATGACTAATATCTATCATTTTGCTTCTCTGCCAAAAATATTTCTTGATTTAAGAATATTTTATTTAATTTCACGAAGAGTTTTTTTTAAATTAAAGTGGAAGAAAACTGTCAGTTTGGTCAGAAAAAGAAAGTTTTAATAAAATGCAGGGAAAACAATACTATTGGCTAGTGCTTAATTTTTTTAAGTTATTTTTTTAAACACTGACAGATTTCTTTATTATTTTAGATTATTATTAGAATTATTGCTATTTCTATAGTTGTTGTTGTTATTATTATTGTTGTTGTTGTTGTAATAATAATAATAATAATAATAATACAAATAATGCTGATGGTGATTGTTCATCATCATCATTCGTTCATTTAATTTCCTTCGGCTTGGTCCCTTTATTCATGGAATGAACCACCTATTCCAGCATACATTTGACACAGTGGATGCCCTTCCAGCTGCAACCCAGTACTGGGAAACACCCATACACAGTCATACACTACGGCCAATATAGTTCATCAATTCTCATATAGTGCATGTGTTTGGACTGTGGGGGAAACCAGAGCACCTGTAGGAAACTTACGCCAACACGGGGAGAACATGCAAACTCCACACGGCAACACCAACTGACCCAGCCGGGACTCGAAACCAGTGACTTTCTTGCTGTGAGGCAATCGTGCTACCCACTGCACCACCGTGGCGCCCCATTATTATTATTATTAATATTATTATTAATATTATTATTTTATAATTTTTTTTATCATCATAAATGTTTTTGGGAGTCAATTAACAATTGCTGTTTTTTTTTTAATAAAACACTTATTCTACTTATTCGAGCCACTGTAATGTAAATACTAATGGTTAGATTTTTGTTTGTGTGTCTGTGTGTGTCTGTGTGTGTCTGTGTGTGTGTGTGTGTGTGTGTGTGTGTGTGTGTGTGTGTGTGTGTGTGTGTGTGTGTGTGTGTGTGTGTGTGTGTGTGTGTGTGTGTTTGTGTGTTTGTGTGTTTGTGTGTTCTCAGTGTGCTGCTGGATGTCCTGTGCTGTGCTCATGCTGAACTGGCGTCTGTCTCCGAGGACGAGGAGAGTCTGGAGTCTGCAGTAACTCACCTGGAGAGATCAGTGTGTGTGTGTCCCCAGAGCGAGCGTCTGTCCTCCCGCCTGCACCACCTCTGTCTGCGTGCCTCCATGCACAAACACACCACTCCTGCTGGAGCCCTGGATCACGCACACACACTCATACTGCAGGTGCCAATGCAAAAACACACTCACTCTCTGTCTGTAACGAGATGTGTTTGGGGATGTTTACGCCTGGGCTCAGAGTTTATAAATATGCGTTAGTGTTTTCACGATACTGGAATTCAGTACCAGTCGATACTAAAATTTTAAAACGCTTTCCTGCTAACATTTGAGCGCTGTTGAGCATGTTCTTAGGGTGCACTCACTATGCTGTTCGAACCTTGCCCAGACGCGTTACCCAGTTTGTTTGACAAGTATCATCGGCCTCAGGTGTGGTTCTCTTGCAAGCCATCTCTCCTGCAGTCATACCAACACTGACTCTCATAATCAACACATCTCTTGACTCTGGTTTATTCCCCACTACATTTAAGCTGGCAAGGGTAACCCCACTGCTAAAGAAACCCAACCTGGATCATACGCTACTTGAAAACTACAGATCGATATCCCTGCTTCCATTCATCGCCAAGATTCTGGAGAAAGTCGTGTTCAATCAAGTCCTGGACTTTCTTACTCAAAACAACCTCATGGACAACAAGCAATCCGGCTTTAAGAAAGGCCACTCAACTGAGACTGCCCTGCTCTCGGTCGTGGAGGATCTCAGACTGGCTAAAGCAGACTCAAAGCTGTCCTCATCTTGCTGGATTTGTCAGCTGCTTTTGACACTGTCAACCACCAGATCCTGCTTTCTACGCTCAAGTCACTGGGCGTTGCGGGCACTGTTATACAATGGTTCAGATCTTACCTCACTGACAGGTCATTCAGGGTATCTTGGAGGGGAGAGGTGTCCAACCTACAGCATCTAAACACTGGGGCACCACAGGGCTCTGTTCTTGGGCCACTTCTCTTCTCCATCTACACGACATCTTCAGGATCAGTCATCCAGAAACATGGATTCTCCTACCACTGCTATGCTGATGATACCCAGCTATACCTCTCTTTTCACCCTGAGGATCCCTCGGTTCCAGCTCGCATCTCAGCCTGCCTGTTGGATATTTCACACTGGATGAAAGATCATCATCTTCAGCTGAACCTCGCAAAAACGGAAATGCTTGTAGTTTCTGCCAACCCGACCCTACACCATAACTTTTCAATCCAGATGGACGGGGCAACCATTACTGCATCCAAAATGGTGAAAAGCCTTGGAGTAATGATTGATGACCAACTAAACTTCTCTGACCACATCTCTAGAACTGCTTGATCGTGCAGATTCGCACTCTACAACATCAGAAAGGTCCGACCCTTCTTATCTGAACATGCAGCTCAACTCCTTGTTCAAGCTCTTGTTCTCTCCAGACTGGACTATTGCAACTCTCTACTAGCCGGGCTTCCAGCTAACTCTACCAAGCCTCTTCAGCTGCTCCAGAACGCAGCAGCACGAGTGGTCTTTAATGAACCTAAAAGAGCACATGTCACTCTGCTGCTCATCCGTTTGCACTGGCTGCCAGTTGCTGCTCGCATCAAATTCAAAGCTCTGATGTTTGCTTACAAAGCGACTTCTGGCTTTGCTCCTTCTTATCTGCTCTCACTTCTGCAGATATACGTGCCCTCCAGAAACTTGTGTTCTTTGAATGAACGTCGCCTCGTGGTTCCATCCCAAAGAGGGAAGAAAACACTTTCCCGAACTCTCGCGCTCAATCTGCCCAGTTGGTGGAATGAACTCCCTAACTGCATCAGAACGGCAGAGTCACTCGCTACTTTCAAGAAACGAATAAAAACTCAACTATTTAGTCTCCACTTCCCTTCCTAATCTGCAATCGCCTCTCTGACTCCACCGCTAACTGTACTACAGAAAAAAAATTATTAATGTTCTGCATCTTACACTTTACATACCTGAAACTCGCCTACAGCACTTCTTCATTGTTGCTCTTATAGTTGTGTAAACTGCTGCCTTGTCCTCATTTGTAAGTCTGATAATGACTAAATGTAAATGTGCAGTTGGCCGGCCCTGACCCGATTGGAAGAGGTGTGTCAGGCGTGGCTTGGTTGGGCTTTGTCGCAGTACGCTTGTTGTGTGAGTGTAAAGCACGCCTGAGCCTGAAACTGAAGACGAGAGGTCACTTTAAGACACTGTTTGATGTGGATTTATTAATCATTCTCACTGTTCAATGAACACAAACTGTCGTAATTTATTAAAGACACAAACCCCTCACTGCATCACACCTTCAGCAAACCTCCTCATTCCTGCAGCACCAGGACTTTATCTGTGTGTCACTACGGCCCAAACCACCAAACCTATATAACTAAAGCATCCTCCACTGTGCTGAGCGAGAGCGCTTCTCTCCTGTTAAACTGAACACTCGCTTCATCGATGACGGAAGTGTGCTCCGGCTCGGAAGGCAAAACACAGTGTAAGTGCAGGCCGAGGGGGATAGGGGAGGGGGGACAATTGTGCATTGAGAGGGTTCAAGGCAACTGTACATAGTGTGAGAATGCATTTAAACAGCGCTGATTTGTCATTGAGTTCACTTGCTCAACAGAAATGACTCTGATTGGCTGTGAAGGTTCACCAAACTCACCGCTGTTTACTGAGTGTAAACACAGATACAGGGATATTGGAGTGGTTTAAAGTCATGTCGATCAGCTGCTTTTTCTATAAGATGACATACGAACAATCGAGCCAAGTTCAATGAGCTGTTGTCCGGTGTGAGCTGGAGGATTTCCCCTCAGGACACCAACAACACACGCTACGTCACAATCACTCATGCTTGACCCTTCTCTGCGTCAGGTGTAAACGCACCATAAGAATTCTGTCATCAGTGCTTAAATATTTGCAGGAAATGGACGTTTTTTTAGGATCGATTGGTACCAAATTCCAGTATTTTGACAACCTTAGTATGCGTAGAAACTTTCTTGAAAGTGTATCATTAAAACCACAACTAAAAATCCACCCCAAACTGAGTGCAACTCACAGAGGTGAGAGGGCCTGACAAACCACTTGCAGAAAACACACCCTATGGGTCCTATCATACACCCGGCGCAGTGTGGCGCATGGCGTGGCGCAGTAGTCTTTTGCTAGTTTCAGCTTGGTGCAAGAGTGGTTTTGAGGCATTGCGCTAGGCTGTTTAAATAGCAAATGCATTAGCGCTCATTTGTGCACACATAGGCGTTCTGGTCTAAATAGGAAGGTGTTCTGAGGCGGACCGCTGGCGCGTTGCTATTTTAAGAAACTATAATAGATTTTTCATTAGACCAAAACTAACCCGGTCTAAACTCCAGCACAGAGTTGCACCTCGCTTACACACTGCTTAATACACACAAGAGAGCAATAGACAAATATTTTTACATATGAAAAAAAATTAATATTAAGGATATATATAGGATATAATAAGAATAGATATAGAATATAAATATAAAGGATTAAAATATTACAAAACATATTATTTTCTAGCCTACATAAATATGAAAAATCACTGCTTTCATGTCTTCTTCATCTCGGGAGGCTTTTTCAGTTCATTCATGACAATCTGCTTTTGTATAATGTTATTATTATTAGCAGTATTATTTATTATATCCATATTTATATTTGTTTTATTAAAAACAAGCTTAGATTTGTCCACCTGTCAGGTTTTAGAGCATATGGGGCACAGCATGTGTTTTAGGATATAACTCAGGTTTTTGAGCACACTTCATTATTATTGTTCATTTATTCGTTTGCTTGAAATTAGAACTGAATTTAGAAATAGTTTTGAAACGAATATTTGCGCTTAACAAACAAAAGTATTTATTTATAGAGTAATTGATGTCTGTGCGTAAAGGTTTCCCCATCCAAGAGCGAAAGTGAAAGTAGATCCATTATCTCTCATTCTCACGCAGTAGATGCTCTGTTTAACTGTTTTCTGTGAACTGTTTGCTTGTGAAATGCTCAGTTTTTCCACTTAGACTTACTTTACGTCCTGTAAATAGCGAATGCGCTCTTGGCGTGATGCAGCTGGCTCTTAAAGGGAATGGGAGATGAGACTCTGATTGGTTTATTCTCAAAGCACACCAATAACTCATTAAGAGAATAAACTCAACCCTTTTAGACCATGCGCCACGGCGCAAAGCGCAATTTCCCATTCTTAAATTAGCAAAAACGCGTTCTGACACGCCCTGAAAGCATTTGCGCCCTGTGTTTTGCGCTCTGCGCATGGACCGTCAAAATAGAGCCCTTTGTCTCACTAGGTGTGTTTCCATCCAAAGATGCAAATTAAATGTTTATCCAAGAACAAGCAGCAGCACGGTGTCTCAGTGCTTAGCCTCACAAAAAGAAGGTCGCTGGTTTGATTCTCAGCTGGGTCAGTTGGTGTTTCTGTGTGGAGTTGGTGTGGGTTTCCTCCGGGTGCTCCGGTTTCCCCCACAGTCCAAACACATGCGCTATAGGGGAATTGATTGACTACATTAACCGTAGTGTGTGTAAATGAGTGTGTATGGGTGTTTCCCAGTACTGGGTTGCAGCTGGAAGGGCATCCGCTGTGTAAAACATGCTGGAATAGTTGGTGTTCATTCCACTGTGGTGACCCCTGATAAATAAAGGGACTAAGTTTAAGGAAAATGAATGAATGAATGAATGAATGATGTGATTTTCACAAACCAAAAGCATTTCAGCCACTAAACAGTCATACATGTTTGCTAGATTGTTCCTAACCTGCATACTTATGTTTGTTTATGTCAAAAATAAATAAATGGAGCAGTCTTTTAAGAATATCTTCTCACATTTGTGGTCATGATTAAAGATTTTGATTGGCATGTTTCATAATTAACGTTTCTGAAAGTCTGTTAATGGTGCACAGTGTGTTTCGATTGTGTGTGCGACTGTTTCAGTGCTCTGGAAGAGTTTTGTAATTCAGACAGCACTTAAAACAGCTGATACCCTGACTGGTGAACAATGGTGCTGATTGAGACACACTCCAGGTTTAGTGCGCTTCTGTAATGATTATGTCATATTTGCGCAGGCTGGAGAGGTCAGAGGTCGTGGGCTTGTGAAGAAGTGTCGCCCTCTACTGGTCCGGGCAGGAATCACACTGGCTCCTGAAGCTTTCCAGAGCGTTCTCGATGCTGACCGCAGGATCACAGGTCAGGGGTCATGCATGTGTTCATCTCAATTCACATTTATTTCATCTGTGTGTTTATTTTCTGCAGCAGGGGAATAAAGGGCTGAACACTCCACTGTTACTCTCAGAGAACATGCCTGAACGAGACGCTGAAAATCAAAGATGCTTCTAGAAGAGTTTATGCTGATGGAGGAGCAGCGCTGTCTGACAAATCCGCTCATCAGATCTGTGTGTGTGTGTGTGTGTGTGTGTGTGTGTGTGTGTGTGTGTTTGTGTGTGTGTGTGTGAGAGAGAGAGACTGCAGCTCCGCTTTACTCCCGTGTGTCAGTCTCTAATCAGGGTATCCCATCATTCCTTGCGGCTCACAGACTGAAGCGCTTGATCTGTGTGAGATCAGCTGCTCTCTGAAGAGTGTGTGTGTCTGAGGGCCCTATCATACACCCGGCGCAGTGTGGCGCATGGCGCGGCGCAGTAGTCTTTTGCTAGTTTCAGCTTGGCGCAAGAGTGGTTTTGAGGCGTTGCGCTAGGCTGTTTAAATAGCAAATGCATTAGCACTCATATGTGCGCTCATAGGCGTTCTGGTCTAAATAGGAAGGTGTTCTGAGGTGGACCGCTGGCGCGTTGCTATTTTAAGAAACTATAATAGATTTTTCATTAGACCAAAACTAACCCGGTCTAAACTCCAGCACAGAGTTACGCCTCGCTTACACACTGCTTAATACACACAAGAGAGCAATAGGCAAATATCTTTACAAATGAAAAAAATTAAATATTAAGGATAAATATAGGATATAATAAGAATAGATATAGAATATAAATATAAAGGATTAAAATATTACAAAACATATTATTTTCTAAGCCTACATTAATATGAAAAACCACTGCTTTTATGTCTTCTTCATCTCGTTAGGCTTTTTCAGTTCATTCAATCCAGTATGCTTTTGTATAATGTTATTATTATTAGAAGTATTATTTATTATATCCATATTTATATGCTGGATGCTGTGCCATTGAATGAGTTTGATTATTTATAAACCAAGCAAAACCAAGACTTTTTTTTACACACTGGCTCTTCTCTCAGAGCCAGAGTGTCAGTTTACAGTAGAGGGCCATTTTAGAACCTATAGCACATATTATTTAAGTATTTTCAAGATAAACAGAATGTATAAGTGCAATATATATAAAAAAAAATATGTATATATTTGCACTCTTTCAACATAAATAAATTTAGCATTGCACAACAAGAATTGTGATTTAACTTTTCAACTATGAAAACAAGTTTTACAAAGATATATTTTGCCACTGATTATTCAAAACTTAAGGTGGTGAACTAGCAGTGTTATGCTGCTTTGAAACATCACTGTCACTGTAAACAACAGGCTAATAAAAATATAACAAACCAGCAATCTTCTTGCTGTGAGGTGGTTAAACTACCCACTGTGCCACCGTGACACCCAATTATTTTTATCATTATTATTATTAATATTATTATTATTATAATTAAATAAAAATTAACAGGAGGAGGTGTTTAAAACCTTCGTTCTCCGTGACACTAGGCTGAATATCTTTGCAGATGAACAATGCAATAGCATTCGTTATTGGCGTAGAGTGAGCAGAACTGTTGCGCATGGGAAAAAAAACTTGCAATGCTTTTCTCACCACTTTTGGAGCTGGTTGAAGCAGTGCGAAAGCCGGGGATGCAGAAACACTGGAAGATGCTTTCACAACAACACCGTGGCGCCGCTTCCAGTGAGATATCAGATTAGTCGTACTGCCCGCGTATTTTACAGATGCGCGGCACATTTTGCAAATTGCATCTGTCCTGTCATGTCGTCCATTCTTAAATCCATAATGTTGCTTGCCATACTTTAGATTTAAAACTCAGTGGGGAATAAAATGTTTGTTTTGCTTCTCGCGCTTTCTGAGGGCGCTCCACTAGCTTCATCCGCACACCTGATACACTGAGTTGTAGTGTGTGCACATCCGCAAATCCGTTGCTAAGGCTTACTTTATGTAGGTCGATTAAATTATGCGCCAAAAACAGGTTGACAACACTTGTTAATAAATAAAAAATACATTCTATATTAAAAATATAAGCTGTATCTCGGAAAAATCGATGCATCTTGCAAAAACCGATGCACCTCCTGATTTGCTTCCAAAATTTCATTCATCCTCTGCTGCTCAACCGATGCACTCGCATCGTGCACACGCATGACCGCGTATCGATACATATCGGTTAATCTTCCCATCCCTAATATATATATATATGTGTGTGTGTGTGTGTGTGTCCACTGCATGTTTTATGGGCTGTTTAATGCTATGATTTGAGCAGGGGAATACAGTAGAGTGTGAGGATTTACTATAATGCACAGTCGCTTGTATGTTATAAAATGTTTCTAGTAAATGTTGTTCTGTCAAACTGTTCATTCATCAAAGAATCCTGGAATGATAAACCATACAAAAACAATTCAATGTTTATAAACTATTGTATTTAATTTTATTATACATAAAATTAAAAGTTAATTGAGGCGAGGCAGTGGCGCAGTAGAGAGTGCTGTGGAAACCCCGGATTAATAAAGGGACTAAGATGAAAAGAAAATGAATGAATGATAAAAGTTAATTGAATTAGTTATCTAATAAGTGTGTAATAAACTGGCCCTTCACATTAATCTGTACCCAAGAAGTTGCTATCAGTTTCAAAAAGGTTGGCGACCCCTGTTTTAAACTATTAACAAACAAAATGGTGAACAAGAAACTGTTTAGTTGTTCACTAGATTTTTTT